AAGAGGATCCACATTTTAGAAACATTGCCTATCTGTTCTCCAGAACAGAGACGATTCTATACTCCCATCAGTAGTCCTCAAGCATCCATCTCCTGCATTACTAATGAGGTCGAACAGCTCATTCCATGAGTTTGCTGGCTCTGTGTATCAGTTCTTCTGTGAATTGTCTACTTGTGACCACCTCTTGTAGGGTGTTCATCATTTACTAGTTAATTTGAAGAATTCTTTTTTAAAGGCTATTAATCTTTATCTGTTATTGAAGATCTTTTTTTCTACTTTTCCTAACTTGTTCTTCTTTTTTAATTTGGGCTTTTGAGTAATAGTATAAGGAACTTTTCACTTCTCAAGACGATAAAAATATTCTGTTGTGTCTTTGTTTTATATAATTTCACTTACTACTTTTTAAAGGTTCGAACCATCTTAAAGTCTTCTGATGTTATGTCAAGTCAGATTGTAGTTTTTTTTAAAATGAGTAGTCAGCTCTCTTATTGAGTAACTTTTTCCCCCACTGAAAAGCCATTTTTATCGCACACAAAAGTGAGAAGTATTTTCAGATTCTGTTTTGTTCCACTGATCTATAGTTATTCTTGGACTAATGTCTCTACTTTAGTTAACTCTAACTTGGGAAAAAAATTTCATGTCTCCTGACACTTGTTCCAATTCTTTTTTTCTGAAAACTTCTGGCTATCTTCCCGTCTCTTCCTTCCTACAAAACAAAAACAAAAACAAAAACAAAAAACAAACAAACAAAAAAACAACTTTAGAAACATTTTTTTCTGGTTCCTAACAGGTCCTATTGAGATCTTAGTATGAATTACTTTGAATTTCTAGCGTATGAGAGGAAGGAAAATCTTTACATGAATATGACCAAGAATTCTTTCTTTGAATGTTCTTCTGTGTCACCCAGGGAGAGTTTTATAGTCTTCTTTTAAAAAATCCTGTATATTTCTTGCAGGTCACTTATATTTCACCACTTTTTAAATTAGTAACAGCTGTACTGCTGTGGTGACTGAGAACTGTTCCCACACTAGTTTCTAACTGATCAACTGGTTTATATTAACTTTTGTGTATTTGTTATGCAATTAGCCACCTTGCTGGACTCACTGATAGTTTCTTCCATTGGCTCGCTTGCATTCTCCAGGTCTTGAATAACAGAACTGTGAATGATGATTCTTCTGCACCCTCCTTTCCAATATCTAATTATGTGAAATTTTAAAAATTTAAAGGATATACTTACTGCTAGTAGTTTTCATTAATTTTGCATAGACTATCAGTTAATAAATTTAGCTCTTTTGATTAGCTCAGGAAAGTTTTCCTTAATTCCTACTTCTTTCATTTTTCTGGTTTTATTTTTTTTGGAGGCGGCACACTTACAATTCAGAGGTTGGATTTATATAATTTTTTGTTTCCTCTATCTTATTTTTTTTCCTCATCCCCTTTCTCTACATTTTTGGAGAGGGACAGAATTTACCCACATGACCAGTGAAACTTTCTGTATTCAGTAATGCTGATTCCTTCCTCCTGTGGGGAATTTGCATTTGGGGTTTCATTTTTTGCCTACTTCAGGATGCTCCCTCTTTATTCCTTCCGTTTTCCTCAACTTATTCTTTCTTTACAGCTAAAAAAAGTGATAGAATAATTATTTAGACACTTCTTTCTGCAAGACAAAGTGCTCAGTACTTCATAGACATTATCGTGTTTGATTTGTACAAACTCTAAGGTCGATATTATTACCATATGACCCAAGATCACTAGGGAACTTGCCCAGGACTTCTGAGCTGCTCAGTGGCTGAGCCAGGATTTAAAGCCAGGCCTTCTGCCTCCATAACCCATGCTCTTAACAGCCCTACCAGAGGGTTGCATATGCCCTTGGTCCTCCTCCCTGCTCATAAGGGAGCTCGTGCTTGCCGGATCTACACCTGGAGTGAGGTGGCCTCCTAAGAGCCTGCTAAGAGTCAGGTCCAGTGCCTGCTCAGCAAAGGCCAGTGTGTCTTCAGTTCCGATTCTTAGTCTGGCTTTACTCGAGTCAGACAAATGTTCTCTTTACGAGTGTTGTACACGCTCCGGCATTTGCTGCAATCCAGGAACCCTCCACTCTCCACCCATCTGCAAGGCTTTCTCTGGGGTGACTGAACATCCAGGAATGCAAAGCCCTCCTTCCTCTTGAATCTGCAGTTGTACCCAAAATTGAAACCTAAGGTCTTGAAAATGCAGATGAAAGCAAGATGAGGGATACTGAGAGACGAGCGGCCATCGCTAGCTAGCTCAGACAATTTCTGGGTAATAAGGGGTTTGGTTTTCTAGGCAGTGCAGCTCTTGTGGCCTGCTTCAGGGGCAATCACTGAGTTGAGGCTATTTCTTACCTACTCTGCAGCTAATTTGGGACAAGAAATCAAATGACTGACACTGGAGTTAGTGTAAATTCCCAACAGATATTGGCATCTGGGTTCCTCTTACCTTCAGTTTCCAGCATCGTTGCAAAGACTTTGTGGGTATTTTTACACGAAGCAGGGAAAGAATAAATCGAGGACTGCTAACCTGTGGTCGTGTCTAACACGTTTACTGAGCATCACGCAATTGGCTTGGGGTCAGTGTTCAACTCCCTCTTAAAGGAGGTATGTAGACTGTCCCCATCGACACCCAGCAGTCACTGACACAGGCCAAAGTGAATCTAAGTGTCTTTCTATGATGCATTTCCTAGGCTCTTTCCTTGTAGGAAGTTCCCACAATATGAGCTGTTCCTAAAGCCCTATGGATTCGTAAAATTGTCTTGTGACAATTTTCAAATCACATTAAAAAAAAAAACCCAGCCCCCCCCCCCCCAAAAAAAGGGTAGTGTTGGAGAGGGAATTAAGGACTGAGCTGAGGTGTTTTCCTGTCTGAGAGACATGGCTGAAGAGGCTGAGAGAACCAGGTCAAAGTGACCTGACAATTTTTTCTTGAGAGTTATCTTGTGCAGAAAAAAAGCTTTTTACACTGCGAATTGTGGAAGCCCCTTGGCACACAGAGGATTTCTTGCCTCAGTAAAGCAGAGCTAAGGACGTTATAAAATGCTACTTGTTTTTTTTTTCCCTTTCAGAAGCATCCAAGTTATTCTGCACTTCTATGGCCAAAGCTACAATGGACAGAAGGAGCTAAGAAGTGTGTTGAGATATAAAATGTGTAACTGGAAATCCCATGCTGCACTAGGTGCCCCTCATCTGTGTCCCTGCCACCCCTTGTGATGGTCAGTTTTGTGTCAACATCATGTTTTATGTGTTTACAAAGGGTCACCCATTGATTTTAAGTACTTAACATAACCCTCAATAATGCAGGTGGGCCTCATTCAATCCGTTGAAAAGTCTTAAGAGCAAAATCTGAGGTTTCCCAAAGAATCCTGCCTTAAAACTTCAAAAGAGAAACTGCTGGCCCAGCCTACAGATTTAGACTTCTCAGGCCCCCATAATTATGATCAGATTCCTTAAAATAAATCTTTTTATACATACAGACGTTTTACTCTATGTTAAGCGTTTTACTTGGCTCTTCCCCCAACTCTAAGCTCAAGGATGTGGACTCTGTCTTACACATCCCTGTATCCCCAACATCCAGCAAGATGCCTTCTCAGACTCTTAAGTACTCAAGAAATATTCTGAACTAATGGATACACAGGATAATCCCTTCATAAAAGACTGTTGAATCAGGAGACGGGTAACAACTGAAGCAAGGGTGATTAACAGGGTCAGGAAATAGGGATCTTGGGCAAAATGAGGCTGGAAAGCAGGCAGCTCAACTCCTACAGTAGCCAGAGGTACAAGCCAGCACGCCAAAGGCCTGGAAGTTAAAAGTCAGGGCTTTATATCAAAAGCCCACTTAAAAAACAAGAAAGCCAGCTGGGCCTGACTCTTCTCATTGGGTGGCCTCTGGCTTGTTGCTTCCCCGTCTTGGGCTCAGGGCGGCGGATCCATTTGATCTCTTTTAACACATGATATGATTCAGAACAAATATGACTCTAAGGTCAAAGCAAACAGGAACAGGAACTGAGATGGTTGAAATGACAAATAACGCGTGTGGAGCCTACAGGTCATTCTCTCCCTCGTGTCAGGGGCAGCACTGGTCACGGGGGCGGGAGCCCTTGGGCCACAGGCACCAACGCTGCAGTGAATATAGTTTGCTGAAAAGCGGGACAGGAACAGAGTCAGAACGACCAGGAGATTCGTGCAGGGAACACGTCCAATGCTGCACGATGGTAACTGTGGTAGTTAGTGCGGGAAGTCTGGCTAGCTTTGCTTCTGAGATTAATTGAACCGCATCAATGGGCTGGACGCTGTGGAGTCAGCAGTACGCCTTGGCTCAGCTACAGATGAGGCAACGTGAAAACAGATGAAACTGGCTTTCACGGAATAACTGTTCCCTTATCTTTCTGTATGGGAAGGAACCCTCCATTTGGGGATGTATATAAAATGCTAGTTTCCAAATTCATGACATTGTTTTTTTTGACAATTTCTTCAAACATGTCATTTCATTCCACAAGACTCTAACCTCTGAAAGAAACAGTAAATAAACTTGGAAAATGTTAACAGCAAGAACACTTCAGCCACAGCACAGAGCCAGAAGCCGATGACACCCCTCAGTTGTAAAAGTTAGCAGTGCTCTCTGTTCGCAAAGCAGGATTCCGTGCTCAAATTAGAAACTGTCATTCTGCAGAACAAATCCAGTCAAGAGAATTACCCCACATAATGCAACAGATAGGAAGCTGTGTTCATATTAAAAAAAATAAGAACAAAAACAACAATCAAACCTCATTTCCGTGGACATAATATTGACGGCAAGAGGTACATCCCTTTATTTAGTTTAGATAAAGTCTTCCAGCACTTACACTGTTAGGAAGTAACCGTTTGGTGCTATGTAAAAGTGAAGTAAGGCAAGTACTATATATAAGAGAAACCAGAAAGACATAGTTTTTAGTTTCCTATAGAATTTACTGAAGTTACCACGTTATAACAAAAGCAGATCATTCTTAGTGTGTTAAATTCATTTATTAATTTAAAGAAAAATATATGGTCCCCATCACAAAAACAGATCATTCTAAATCTTCTTTGAAGCTGAATCAATCAAAAAGCATCTATTTGGAAACTACGTACCCAGTATCATATTATATCAAAGATAAGGCTGCTGTTCTCACAGAAGATATGGATCATTGGTAATCAATCATTAACCTAGTCAATGTTCTGCTATTTTGGAAACTATTGGAAAACTAACACATTTCTCTGGACATGGTTATCTTGCCCTTCTGAGAGTCTTATAGATCTAGATGAGATTAGTGTTGAAAAGGGGGTCTCATTTAGTCCAGAAGATTTCAGAGTCCAATATAATTCTGGGCTAATCAGAGACTAAAGAACCTGTAAAAGGAGAATTAGGCTTGGAAATCAAGCAGTGTTATTTTGAATTAGCAGGTTTTAGTCAAAGGTACGGAATTAATGATCACGCATCAATCAGGTGTTTCTGCAATGCACTCCAATGCCAAGTGACCACTAACATTCTATTTCCTACTCTGATGCCTCCCTGATGAGAGGTAGAGGCTTAAAGAATACTGCCAGCTATAAAATAAATCATACTCTTAATGCCTATAGTCTCTAAAGATAAATCTCTTCTTTTAACATAAGAAACTTCCTAAATCAAATGAATGCTAGTTAAAGCAAAGACAATGTAAGAAACTTCTAATAGGAAAGCCATGAAAGGATCGATCATTTTAAGAGAAGAACCACTTTCCCAGCAGCGCCACTGCTGTGAGTGAGATCCTCATGAGCCTGGGCCACCTTTTCCAGTGGGTACTGGGAACCTATCACAGGTCTCAACCAACCGATTTCCATCCCAGCTTGAAGGGCCGCTGCAAACTGCTGAAATTCCTCCTAAGGGAAAGAAAAAGAGGTGTTGCTTTTTTTTTTGGTAGAGGAAGATATGACTTGATGTTCAGAAGCATTAAAACCTTTCAGAATCTAAGATGGCATTAAGAGTTTCTCACAAACGCACGGCTTTTGTCAAGTTGTTCAGAACTACAGACCAAGTGGTTCTCTATAGGGAACCATCAGTGCAATTTGTCTGTGGCAGCCTCAGTTTACAAAATACCTACTGTCCTGGAGCAATCAGTAATGGTATCTCCTATCTCTTTCATACGTGTCCTGGCTTGGAAAATAAATTATATTTGTCATCCCAGTTATCTTCTAGGGATTAATTATTAAGCTACTTAGTGAAATAACTAAGTTTAACATCTGCTTGAACTTTCAGTAGGCAAACCATCTCAATGTTTAAGCCTGCGAAATCAGAATCATTTCTTTTCCTACCTTGGTTGATGAAAAGAGAGTAACTCCTTTTATGCTAGATTCCTTTGTCATGGTGTCCCGTGGATTTATTTCAACAGGACCTTTGCTGCCAACAATCTAGTATGAAAAACAACATGTCTATAGTTACAGATTACTGCAAAATAGTGTTAAATTATGGTAAAACTTCAAAGTGGTTAAAAAAATGAAATACTTACTATTACTCGTCCTCCTTGGGACAAAAGATTCAGATCGTTGCTAAGATTTACATTAGCTAACATTTCAATAATAACATCAATTCCTTTTTCACCAACAGATTTCTGAATATAAAAGAACGCAGAGTAGATTAGAAAACAAGTTAAAAAAACTGTTATCACAGTCCCATAGATTACAGAAATGTGTTTCAAATGACAAAAAATGCTACATTTTTAAGACTAACAATGCAAATTTTAAGGTAATTTAATTACAACGTTGTGACACAGTTCCAGGGTTCTAGTCATAACATCTAAAATGATAAAGACTTGTATAAATTGCTATAATGAAACAAAATTTGTTTAGAATTTTCAGGTGCTTAGATTCAATTTGACTATAAAATACTTTTTCCTTAGTTGAAAATTTTCTATCTTCAAAATATATTTTAATAGAGAAAGAAACAACAAATCAAAAATCCTAACCTGCAACAGGGCTCCCATTTTTATTAAAAATTAGAAAACAAAAGAAAAAATTATTGGCTTAGTGTTGTAGGATTCTGTGTGTGTGCAAACGCGCGCATGTGTGTGCATTCATTTTTGTTCTAAGTGGTCTACAATCAGCTTGGCACACTACTTTTGTTTTGTGCTCTCAGATGTCAGTTCCCAACATCTAAAACTGGCTCTTAACTAAGCTATACATACTTACCTCATATACATTTTAACAAAAAAATGAGTATTGTGTCAGACATTGTGCTAGGTACTAGGAGTGCCAAAAAGTCACTACTCTGATCACCTGTGTAGGTCAGAGAAAATTCCCCAGAGACGATGACCCGGCCCTGAGGGAAGAGGAGGAGTTCTTTAAGGACAGCAGAAGGAAGGTGAGCAAGGGGAAACTAGACAGGAGGCAGTCAGTCTGGACAGAAGAAGCAGAACAGCAAAGATGTAGGGACAGAGAGCAGAAGCTGGAACTGGAAAGCAGCCCAGCAGAGCTGGAGTACGTATTTGGGAAGGTGGTGGGCGTGAGGGGGTGGGGGGGTGTGGAGAGGAAGAGGCAGGAGACAGGAGATGGCAAATTGGTTCAGATTGTGAAAACGCACTGAATACCACGTTAAAAGATACGGACTTTTGGGGGGCAAGTGTTCAATCACTAATTCTTGTGCCAGGCACTGTCTTCAGGCACTGCAGGTACAGCGACGGAGATTCCTACTCTTGCTGAGCTCTCATTTCAGGTATTTCTGAAAACTTTTTTTTTTTCAAAACAGAGACCCAAATAACTCTTGTGATAGTAGAGAAGACAGAAGGGACATTAGCTCAGCTGTGAAAAATGGTCAAAGCTGGAGAAGGTAAGAACTAAAAGAAGCCACAACAGTGACGGGAAAAGAGAGTTGATAAAAGAACTTAGCAAAAGAACTTGTCAGTCTCCCAAGAAACAACATTTTACTTTTATAAAATTATAGAACAAGTTTACCTTAATTTTGTCAATATAATTATCTTCTCTGTGATTAAAGACTTCATGGGCTCCATTCTGCAAAACAACCCTTTGTCCTTCCTCAGTACCGGCCGTGCCCAAAACCTTTAAGCCATAAGCTCTAGCAATCTGGCATGCTGCTAGTCCAACCTGAAAAACACAACAGAGCCCAGCGGTTTTAGAATCTTTGCATCCTTGCAAACGACTTATTAAACATATATAATGAGATTAAGGTTCTTCTAGGTCCTGGCTTATTATTATTATTATTATTATTATTATTATTATTATTATTATTTTGGTCCTGGCTTATTATCAAGAAATTTAAGAGTCTAAACAAAGAAATAAGAAGAATGATAGCTAATTTTTGTTGAGCATTTATGATACGCCCGGTATCACACTAAATACTTTTCTATGGATTGCTTCATTTCCTCCTCACAATAATATGAAGTAGACAGACAGTGTTACTGTCTCTGGTCCACAGATGAGGAAACAGAAACCCATATAGATGGAAACAGGAGCTGGACCAGGTCAGACTGGAGAGCTTGAGTTGGCAGCCAGTGCACTAGATGTTTACTTAGCATCTGCTGTATGCAGAAGACATGGGGTTTCAAGATGATCCAAATATGCTGACTTATACTCTAACTGTACATATAAAATACTATACAGTAAACATAAGGCCTCTACCATTTAAGTGGAAAAGACAGGTACAGACATGGGCAAATTAATTTGTTCATTAATATGATGAACATTTATTGTTTACTACATGCTAGACATGGTTCTTCATGCAAGAAACAGTCTATGGAAGGGGGAAGATAATCAACACGTGAACAAATCAATGAATAAAGTAAATTGGGAAAATGAAAAGTACCTGAAAAAAATAAAACAGCCTACGCGGTTATAAAGAGACAGAAAAGGGGCCCAGTTAGTCATCAGGAAGGGCCAGGCCACTCTGAGGAGACGGCACTGGGACAAAGTGCGGGACAAGCGCGTGGAGGTCTGGAGAAGGCTGTGGGCAGAGTGGTCATGGACCCGGAGAGGCGGGCGTGAGCCTCGGGCGTTCAGTCAGAAAGGCGCCTAGAGGGTGGAGGGTGGGGCGTGCCGCGTGCGGCTGCGTGAGAGAAGATGAGGCCAGAAGGGCAGAGAGGCAGAGGCACACAGGGCCTTGGAGGCTCTGGATCATATTTAAGAGCTAATGCAGAACTACTGGAGGGTTTTAGCAAGAGAGTGGTGTAATCTGAATTAGGCTTTTAAAAGAACACTCCAATTACATGAGAGGCAAAAAGAAGGTGGGGGAAAATGGGAACAGAAAAACCAGGCCTTTGTCAGAGATTGAGGTGGGGGGTGAGGGAAAGGGGAGGGTCTTTGACCAGATTAACGGAGATGAGGAAGATTCGAGAGGATCAAGTCTGCGAGCGCATCAGGAATTGACTTGAACACGCTGAGCTGCAGGCTGCTCACTTAGCTGAAGCTGCTCAGTCATCAGCTGAATGTGGGTATGGGCTTGAAGGAGTTCAGGAGTGGAAACATGAATTTGCAATTCATCAGTTAGAGATGGTATTTACAGCCACAGGATTGGATGAATTCACTGGATCACTAGATAAATGTGCTTAGTATAAAGGAGAAATAGAACTATTTTAGGAATATAGATAAAAGCAATCACTTAAGTTGCAATACTAGGAAATATGCGTTTGATCACATGCCAAACGAATAGCACAGATGAGTGTCACATACATTTAGAGCAAGCTTTCTCAAAACCTGGCACTGTTAAGCTGGGTAACACTTCGCTGTGGGGGCTACTCTATGCATTGAAGGATGTTTAGCAGCATGCCCAGTTTCTGTCCATGGGACACCAGACCCCTTACTCCAGTTGTGACGGCCAAAAATGTCCCCAGACAACGTCAAATGTCTCCAACAGGGAGGAGAGATGATAGAAAGTCACCCCTTGTTGATTACCACTGATTTAAGGGAAAGTAAAATCATTATGGATTGGGTGTGATAGAAATGAATCAGAATGAAAAATGATGACAGAAACTAATTAAAATTGCAACAGAATCACAGACTCCCAGGCTGGAAATAGACCTGAAAGACTGTATGGCGTATGGGAGCGATGAGCCTGAACCCAGCTGGGTTATGGTGAGGATTTGTTTGATTCAACCAAACACATGGAATTCACTGTCTACTAAATGAGAGAGGCACTCGGTTCCACGGAGTAACAATACACTGCAGGGTTGGCACAACTGATTTTTGCTACTTTAATTTTCAGTTTAAAAAGGGGAGGGGAGGGCTCTAATAAAACCGCATTTCAACCTAAGAGTTAATGTAAATGTATCTCTTTATGCACTGACTACTTTAAGGGGGCACTCAATACTATTTAAAAGGCGCTGTTTATTCTATTCTTGTCAACAATTATACTAACACTATTCCTTCAATAGATTATATACCGTTACGTGTCAACTATTTTTTCCCCTCTTTATTCCGCTGACACTAAAATTGGGCACTCCCCACCAACATATCTGGATAATAGCTGTGTCCATAAATTCCACACCATTTTAAATACACAACATAATCCCAAAGGAATGTGATTCAAATGAGGGCGGAAAGTACCAACAGAAGCAAGACAAAACCCAGGACTGTTTCCCTTCCATAGGGCAGAGAGGATCAGAAGCGCTTCACACACCAGGTCGCCAGCCTATCCCTGCCAGCCAAGGATTTAACAAACTCAGCCAGCAGAGAATAGTGTGGATTTTGCATTTTGAAAAAAATTATGGTGAAGCGACCCGGCTTTTTACCAGAGGGTAAAGGGAATAAAAAGAGATTTCCTTTCAACTCCTCTCTCCCCTTCCTACTGAAATCTCTCCCTTTGATACAAAGCACGAGGTTAGCTCTCTGAAAGCCAAAGCAATTTAAATAAATGCATGTTTGACAGATCTTTTAGTTATTTAGGGTTAAATTAAATTTAACCCCAAAATAGCCTTTTCTGTGAAGCTAAACAGTAGGAGTTTCTGACAAGGTGTATCTGTCACATTTTCTCAAGCCCCATAAAGATAATCTTGGTATTTCTCAGTAAATACCCTGATCTGTGGCATCCCCTCAGAACTGGTCTGTTGGAGCTACACAGGAAGCTGGTGTGAAAGCTGTCTGGTTTCATATTCATCCATGTAAAGTAACGAACACAGGAGTCTGAATTCTCTGCTTGCATTATCTGGCCACCTGTAGAGGTAAATTCAGTTTTCAGGATGCCTCTCATTATTCCAGGGACAACGTGCCATTAATAGGTTAGTTCTTCTCATCTACTCTCTGGATGCACAGGGCTCTGAAAGGGTTAACCAGCTTCCTCAGGTAAGCCATCCAGCCCCAGGCCCTGCATTTTAAAAAAGCGAACTCTTGTCTCCAAAATTTCTAAAGCCTCTGCGTGCAGGATAGAGGTCATGTGGATTTCTTGTTAAATTCCAACCTCAGAGCTCTAACTTTTCCTCTAAGCTCCTCAGAGGTGGATTGACAGCCAGTTTCTCGAAGAGGTTTTCTGACAGCCCTGCGCTGGGTGATTTCACCGAAGGGCTGATTTTATAAGTTCTGAGTCCCCTCACCACCCCCAATCCCCTATTAGCATTTTAAGCTGTGGGTTGTGGTGTTAAGGACACGGTCGTACGTATACTGTGCACTCCACGAACTGTCATCAAAGCGCAGCAGGCGAGCGGCGGAAGGGAGCTAGGAAGGACGAGAACTCACAGTGCGGCTTCACAGCGCTGTCTGAGGCAACGGAGGTAAAGCTTTAATGAGCCTTAGTTTCCTTATCTAAGGGAATATGGAATTTATATGAACCTTAAAGAACTGCTTAAAATTCTAAATAAATATTCTGAGAACATTGGCTACTTGGAGAGAAAAACAAAGCCGGCTTATCTTGGTCCACACCCAACCCAGGTGGAAAACCTAATATATACCCTTTTGATGGGGTAATCTGTTGGATTTATTAACCAAGAAATGCTAATGACGAGGAATCACCTTCAGAAGACAGAATTTAAAGAAGCTTCACTACAAAAAGAAAAAAAGCATCCTTGACTATATTTATAAATTTGGCTTTTAAAAACAACTTAAAGAAATATAGTATGAAACCCAAAAATGTAAGCTCTTTAAAAAATAAACTTAAAAATAAAATACTTACTCCTCCACTAGCTCCGTGAACCAGAACACTTTCTCCAGCTTTCGCGCAGGCACTGAAAGAGAGCATAGGTTCGTCACCTTACTCTAGAGCTAATTAAGCTCGATGTTTGTCATACTCCTTAAGGAAATTCTACCCTCAGTTCAGCTAACACTTCCCCAGAGAGGAATCCCATTCTGCCATACAACCCAAGATATTCTGTAAGCACCACAGGATCAAACAATGGTTCGTCAGAGCCATAGAGCGAAGAAAACCTTCAATTCATTTATTCATTCAAAAATGTTTACTGGGAGTCTGTTAGGAGCCAGGCACCGTGCTGGATGCCAGGCCCACACTCTGGTGCCACCTTCTAAGAGGGCTCGTAGGTACATGAAGTGGAATTGCTTAACCTAGAGGAACTGGAGTCTCTCATTCATTCACCCAGAAAGTGTCTCAAAACAGGGTTATCACAGCTCAGTCTTCACTCCGTGCTCCAGAGTCACACCCAGGTAGGTACAGCAGCTCCCCTTTTCCTTCCCCATGCCTTTGAGCATCTGGCTGCACAGCCTCGAAGCCTCATTTCAGAAAGCAGCGCTGAGTTAGCGATGGTAAGAGAGTGAGAAATACAGTAAATCCTGTCACCCAGGTTCCCTGTCACCCCTGAAATGTCCAGAGCCTCTGGTAAATGACATATCCTTTTTACCTCTGGTTCACACGACGACTTTTCTATTACACTGAAAACAAGGAACGTGCAGCCAGCAGAGAGGGGAAGCTGCGTCATTCCAGATGGACCAGTGCTGGTGGCACAAGCCGGCAGAGGCTGTGTGATCCAGGTGTGACTCTCAGGGAGGATCCTTACTGACTAGGATGGGCAGGGGTGGCCACCCTGGATGGACATTACGCTCAATGTGGGAGTGAGAACACAGTCACCTGGGGTCCCGCGCAAGGCTGGGTGCCAACAGCTGACAACTGCCCATTGTGAGTGAGGAAACAGAGTTTCTCCAACACACTTGCATGGAGGTGGGGGTAGATGGCAATGAGTTAAACAGGATTTGGAATGATCAGCTGTGATAGCTATTACCAAAACACTGACAATTAAAAAAGTAAAATACAAATGTAAGGAACAGGACCACTAATGGTAGCCTATGGAATAGAAAATACTTCCTCCTAATGATTTTTTTTTCAAATCTAAAATGACCCTTCAAACACTAAGCACATTCTCCTAAACCCCTGGGCCTGCAGTGGGTGGAGAAGAAGCTGACTAACCCTCTCCCCAGTTGCCTCGGCTACGATGCCTCTATCCTTGGGTAGAGTCAGTGTGGTGGCTAATTTTATGTGAACCTGGCTGGGCCATGGTGCCAGATATGGGTCAAGCTTTCTGGATGAAGGTGCTTTCTGGATAAGATGAACATTTAAGTCAGTAGACTTTGAGAATAGTGGATAATGTGGATGGGCCTCATCCAATCAGTTGAAGGCCTTAATAGAACAAAGATGGACTCTTGGAGCAAGAAGGGATTCTGCCAGTAAATTGACCACAACTCCTCTTGGGCTCTCCATCCTGCCGGTCTATCCCCTCAGATTTTACACTCACCGAGCACACCATTGTGCAGTCCATCAATGCACACCTTCTGTTGGTTCTGTTTCTCCAGAGAACCGTGACTGTCACCTCCCCCTGGGACTCAGGGCAGCTGTCGGGCATCTGGCCCGGCCTCCTGTGCTGCTGGAGTACCCTCTCCTGTCACCCAAGACTGGGACCCAGCCCGCAGGCTTTCTCTTCCACCCTCAAACCAGCCCCAGCCTGGAGACTCCCACATGCACAGACGACAACCTCGCAGCACAATTCCTGGATTCTCCCCCACTTTTACCACTCTCTCCCCGGGCTCCACCTGGTAACCACCCCCAACCATTCCACTGTCAGACACTGATGACTAATATTATGACAGTAATCTCCTGTCCTGACTCTAAGCCCATATTTCCTCAAAACTTTCCTTCCACGTCCCAGAGGTCACTGTCTCCCGATGGCCCTGTTTCTGCCCTCTCACCCTCCTGGCCCCATGCCCTTCCCAACCAGCCCGCGCCCCACGGCACACTGCCCCGACCTCTCTCCCTCCCTGTCTCCAGCACTCTCATTTCTTTTGCACTATTTCATTTTGCCAGTAATATTCCAGCCCGGAATCAATATGAAAGTCTAACTTCCATGATAATTTATCCAAATGGCTGAGTGCTATAGAAAAAAATCACACGACCATGCATTTTGTTGCCACTCCCATTCCGACTCTCAGAAGATCTCTTTGCCTCCTCTTTAACTATGAAAAGTGAGGCAATCACATCTGAGTTCCCTCGACCCCACACCTCCCAACCCACAAACTTTCCATAATTATACCGTCTTCACCTCTTCCAGGTTTAACAGATAAGCTCTCCTTTCGTTGTCTGAAGCCAGTCTTTCTACGTAGGTCCTGAGCCCTCTGCCTCTTGCCTTTGCAGGATCCTGTTCCGTCCGCCACTCCGCCCTTGCTTCCAAACCTTCTATCCCCCCCTCTCTGCTAGATCCTCTCTCAGCTACAAAAATGCCCAAGTCCTGTCCATCCTTAAAAACACCCTTTTGTTCCCACACTCTCCTCAAGTACTCTTCCAGCCACTCCTTCCCATCTCCCCCACTGTTTAAGGGTTGTCTCCATTCAAGAATCAATTTCCAGGGGAAGGATATAGCGCATGCTTAGCATGCACAAGGGCCTGGGTTCAATCCCCAAGTACCTCCATCAAAAAATAAATAAATAAACCGAACTGCCGCCCCCTCTAAAAGAACACATTTCCTTTTCCTTCCTCAATCCACTCCCTCAAGTTCACCACTCTACTGAAAATGATCTGACAAAAGCCACCAATGACCTCCAAATTGCTAAGCCCAACTGCTATTTTTTTTTTCCCAAACAGACCTCACTGATGCAAGTGACAACTAGCTTTCCTCCTCAGTAGCAACATCACCACGACCCCCGGGCACTGTCCACAGTGACTGAGCACTTCCCTGTGCCAGGCTCAGACAAGAGCTTTACGTGCATGACCTCAGTAATTCCCACCACATCCCTATGAGGTACGTGCTGTTCTTATCCATGTTTTTCAGATCAGTAAACTACAGCTGAGACAGGAAAGTAACTTGGGCAGTAGCTGGGGAAGGTGGTACTCCAACCCAGGTCTCCTGTCTTCAGTGCCCATGAGTTTAACAGATGTTCAACAGACACCACGACCGCTAGACTCTCCTGGCCTTGGGATCCACTTGGGATCTCCAACCTTCAAGCACCAGACTCTCATCTAACAGGGAGCTGGATGTCTTAGATTCACTACCATGTCTTAGATTCACGTCCAGTTTCCCTGTGAAACTTCTTCCTCCTTCTCTTTGTCAAGGTAAACATCACCCACGTTGCTGTAAGTATTCTTAAAGCTCTTCCTCTTCCTCACTCTCCACATGCAGTCACCAAGTAGTTCTGGGTTTGCTCCCTAAATATTTGCCCTCTCCACTCCACCTCTTCTCCCATGACCCTTACCCTGGCCCTTAAGTCTCTGGCCTAGAGGGTACTTCTGTAGGACCCTCCCATCTCCTTCCCCATTCCTGCCATCAAATCCATCCTCCACAAGGCAGCAGGTGGCCTTAAGAAAACACAAATACGACACTATCACTCTCCTACATTAAACATTTCATGACCCCCAATCCCTTACAGAACAACGTGTGAGCTCTATAATCCAGCGTGTTACAACCTGCAGCCCACCTACTTGACAATGACAGCTAACAGTTCTTGAGAGATTACTACGCGCCAACCTTATTCTTCACTCTTTGCCTTGAAATCTTCTATCCAACAAAACCAAACTGCCAGAGCTCTCCTCAGGTATCACACTCCCCACCGACACCAGCAATTCCCCTCGTCCAGGATGCCCTCCCCACTCCCAGCTGACTCCCCAAGACAACCCCCTCTGATCCTCTGCAGATACCTAGAGAATTCAATGAAAGTACAGAAACCAGCCATGGAATCCGACCAGCGCGTCTAGGGTAGAGCCCTGTGCTGTACTTTCCACCTTGCAGCAATTAGCTTCTACAGCCGAATAACAAGATTTTTGAACCACGGCTTTAAAATAATGCAAGTCTTACATCGTGTAAGGAAGCTCTACCTCATCCCCACAGCCACATCCCTTGCAACCCCATAAGCCCCTATGCACATCTCTTCCACTGTCCTGTCCACATCATACATCAACATTATTACCCTTGCTAGACTGTGAGCACTTTGAAGGTGAAGACAGTGTTCTGCTCTTCTTTGTATCTTCGGTGATTAGAACAATCTCCCAAATTAGAACCGTTTCTACTCCATAATGCTTAACGGTAACTGAATGGTAATCAAAAATGACTGACAGATGGATGGACAGGTAGCACGAAGGATAATAAATTATATACTATCCTCCCTAACTGACACTGCCCTCCTCTGGCGCTGGTTATAAAGCTGACCGAGTGGGTCATTACCTGTGGAGCAGAGCGCGATAGGCCGTGAAGTACGGGACGCCGATGGCAGCTCCTTGCTGGAAGTCCAGCTTCTCCGGCAGCTTGTAAACGGTGTGATCGGCGGCCAGCGCGTACTCGGCATAGCCGCCCGAGACCGTGCTGGTGGTGAAGACTCTGTCACCTTTCTGGGGAGAGCAGTAAGGCGGTAAATGCTTCAGGGATTAGAAATGATGTCCACATGGGCACCATTCTTTATAGTGCAACCTTTAGAACAAGAAATACGTATTTATGTATGGCTTTATGTATGCATTGTAAGGTCTCATAAGAATTATTTCAAAACACTGAACATTTTTAAGTGTTTTATTAATGGGAACTAGTAAGAAGAAAAATCAAGGGAAGGGGGGAAAACAAGAAAAGAGAGAACCTGCCGACGGAGCCTCACCTCCCCCGAGGGCTTGCCGGGCAGCCGCGGCAGTTATGCCTCCTACTACCTGATTTATCTTCACGACAGCCTCTGAGGTTGGAACTTCTATTATCTCCCTTAGATAATCCCACTATACAGATGAGGCACAAGCAAGTTCAGTAATTGGCTCAGATCAAGCAGTTAGTAAATGGCAGTTAATATAGAACATTTTTCTTTTTTTTTGGTCTAAAGTACTAGGGAAAAGAAATATAATGTAAGGTTTCTTCCACACACCAAACACCTGTTCTAAATCCTTTCCACAGATTTCTTCCTGCATGTCTCTCACTTTTCATGCATACACCAAAAAGCAGGCCATTCTGCCCAAATCCTGACAGCAAAGATCAGCCAGGACAGGCATCTTCGCTCATCCCCGCACCAGCAACACAACAAACTCTAGTAAACGTCTGCTGGGTCCTTGCTATTGAAAAGCAGATGTGCAGCTGAGGGAGGGAAGTCACCACACCGGCACCACAGGCCTGCCCGATGTGCCTGCGCGCTAGGGAAGTTAGGCCGCCCAACACAGACACCTCCTCCAGCTCCTCCGTGAAAAAAGAAAAGTGGATATTCCTTGGAATAAGCAAAACATTAAGACAGCAACTCTCCATATACTTAAATTTGTCCTACAATAAAACACGATGTGGTGGGGTAAAGATAAGAAAGATTCATAAGGCATCTAGGAGTCAAAGACAACCATCCCTGTTTAACGGCATGGCCTGCAAGTCGTCAAATGTGACTGTGTTAAGATTAATCCTGTTTTTACAGCTTAAAAACACGTTGCAGTGATTTCAATATAACTCAAATGTGTTCTAAGACTCCTCTGTGGAAAGCAGTACTTTGAGTTCCGTGGTGGATATTTGTAGCAAGACACTCTCCCTAATCTCAAGCTTCTTAAACTCCAGGAGAGAGAAGAGAAGGACAGGAATAATTACAAAGCAAGGCAAAGATGAAGAAGCATCAAAGATAGGTAGAAGGAAAGGAATTGTTTCTAAGCTGAAAGCATCAAGAATAGCCTCACTGAGAAGCTAGCATCTGAGGCAGGCCTTGCAGGACGGGACAAGATTCTGAAAACTAAAGCTGGGCGAAGGAACGAAAGGGAGAAAAGGAACAGTGGCAGGAAGAAGTGCTGAGAGATCACCGGCGTTCACTCCCGATGAGTAAGTGGCCTGATGCGTGGACTGTAATAGTTTCAAGAGATAAAATGAAAAGAAATTAAAGCTGGAGGATAAAATCCCTTGAATCTATGTTTATAAGTTTCAGTTTAATTCTGCCAAGAAGAACCAATACGAACAAAGACACAGATATGAAGGAGCATAGGATGTGCAAGGGAAGAACTAACAGTTATTACTAAAGAGTAAGCCACAAGTTGAGAGGGGATGGGAGATAAGGATGGAGAGAGAGGTGGGAGAGAGCGCGCAAAACCGTCTTCCTTCATAACAGGAGCGGTCTCAACAACACCCAGAAATCTACAAGGAATTAACGCAAGAACTAAAAGAGAGGTGTGAAAATCAGAATTACACTTGAGAAAATCACTGCTTACAGAGCAAGAACAAACTCGAGGGGGAAGGAGGGCGGGTGGAAAGGTGAGTGTCTATCGCCGAAATCCAGGCGAGAGGCTGTGGAAGAGAACCTGAACTCAGCTACAGGCAGTGAGGAGGGGAGGGGGCAGGACGCAGTCCTAGAAAGGGAGAGCTGGGCGAGGGAGAGTGACGAGATGAGCCTCAAACCCCAGATGTCACCGAGGCAGTCACAGGAGACAGCAGCAGATCTGAGGTGAGAAAAAGAGAGGCTCAGTTTTGGACACAGGGAGTCAGAGGTCCCTGGAGACGGACTGCGTGGGTCCCGTGCTGTCCAGCGCAGCTCTGTGTGGTGAGGCTGGCGCTCCACATCTGCACTGTCCAGTGGGGCAGCCACCAGATACATGGGTCTGTTAAGCACCTGAGGTGTTGCTAGCATGACTGAGGAACTGAGTTTTTAATTTCAATTGAATTTGAATTTTAAATAGCCATGCGCGGCTAGTGGCTGCTTCACTGGACAGCACAGGTCCAGAGCTTAGAAGAGTCTAAATATCTAGTGATACTTAGTATCATGGTGACAATGGAAACCACGGGGACGAGACCATCACGAAGAAGGTGTAGAATCTAAAACGCAGAGTCTAATTAGGCACGGTGTGCACAGCAACACCAAGATGTGAGGCGCATCCAGAGAAAAAAAAGAAAGGGTGCCCAGAGAGGAAGGAGGCGAGAGAATGGGGGAAAATGAGGTCACAGAAGCTGAAGGAAAAGTTTTTTTTTTAAGAAAAAGTAAGTGGCTGAGTGTCAAGTGTCACAGAGAAGTCAAGAGAGATAATGACATAAAAGGGCCCATTAACTCCAGCAATACAGAGGCCATTAGCGACATTAACAAGCCTCGTTTCCACGGAGCGCAGGGGGCAGAAGCCAGATTGCCGCGGGCGCAGGAGAGGAAAGCCGCAGGAATTCGCCCGTCTTCCTGGGCAGGGGCCACGTTCATCTTCTCCGTCTCAGTCCAATTTTGGTAAATGTGCTGCCAAAGTTGAGCAGGTCAAGGAACGACGAGGAAAGATGCCAGAATGTGAATATACAATCTCCGTTGTTTATGTGGTTCGGCACATAAATAACACAAGCCCGGATCATAACGTTTTCATTGACTCAGTCACCTTGGTCTGAGTCACAGCTCTAAAAATGTATAGTTGACCTCACATTTTTTCATCTTTTACTTATTATTCAAAAGAATTAGCCTTCCCTTTATTCCGTGAAGCTAAATTTATATAAAAATAAAAATGTATGTTGGCTGTGCACTACCAGGTTAGGAAATAGTACAGTTTCCTTGCTTGTTCTTTTTCCTTCCACATTTCTGTGAAATCAAAGGATCACAGTTCAATTCTAAGCAGATGTGAAGATGCAGAAATTACCCAGGACTGACCCCCAACAATGCAAACAAGCAAGGCCTCTGGATAAAAGGTAATTTCTTTTTTGACTAGAGGAGCCCCCCAGTGGCACAAATTGTGTAATGGGCCTTTTAAAGACAAATACAGACATATTTTAAAGCTATGCTAAAATGTTTAACAAAATATATACTAAGCCAAAAGAGACAAAATGAAAAATGTAATACCTTGAAAGCAGATACACGCTCTCCAACAGCTTCTATCAGCCCAGCCACATCTAAACCAGGAGTATAGGGGAGGCGCGGCTTCCTACTGTAAGTACCAGAGCGAATGTATGTGTCCACTGGGTTCACACCACAGGCTTGCACTTTGATTAGAACCTGCAACGACAGTGTACTTGAGTTCACACAGAGCATTTAGACACTCACTCAGCACTATGCTAGGCCTGCAGTGACCCTGGGACCTGTAAACCCGGAGAGGAAAATCTTGCCTTCAATGAGCTCACATTCCAGTGTTAACAAACCAACATATATAAGTAAGACAGAATGGCTTATGTGCTCTATTAAAAACACTTGGGGAAAATAGTGGTGGCAACATGTCTGAGGGGGTGTGTGGCAGAGACCTCTATGTGCTCCTCAGACCTGTCTCCTCCTCCTCCTGGGTATGGAGGAAGACCACGCCCTCGTTGTTGCTCCTTCACGGTTATGAGCAGCCGGATGACTGCGTTCCAGCCGGTGGAACATGAACAGAAGGGAGGCGGGCTACCTTCACGCCTGGCCCAGAGACCTTCCCAGGCAACGCACATGGTGTTCCCACCCTTTCACAGAGACCCCAGAAGCAAGGAGCTGAAGGCAACAGACACATGATGGAAGATGCCTGGGTCCCTAAATCTGCTGGAGTATCCACCGACATTTTAGACTTTTGGAATTCAGGGAATGAGAAATGATTTTCTACGGTTGAACTGCTGAGATTTTGAGGCTCCATCTACTATGGAAGTTAATTTGCCCTCAATTAATACAGAAACTCTACATTCAAATTCTCTCATGTATGACAAAGCATGTCTACAGAAGAAAATGGTTTTCCCACCATGTACTAAATAAAGATCATGAAAGTTTGTGATAGAATAACTTGTTCAAAACTACTGTGACTCCATTCAGGAAAATCCGATTACTACACTGCATAGATGATTCTCTACTGCAAAAATTTTCTTATAAGCAGTTATTCCTTTTCATACATTCACTTCACTAATTAGGAAGATGTCATCTTTGTCAGCGCTTACAGATGAAAACAGTGTAAACGCTGTCCTAATTCAACGTCTTTATAAATCAGTGTGAGTCTGCTTCCTTTGAACACTAACTTGATGTGCTAGAGACTCAGACTCAGTGTAATTACTGCCTGTTTTTAAGTAATGATTTCCACCTGATGTTCTTCTGGAATCGGTACAGCAACATCCGACTGGAGTTTCAGCACTTCTGGTCCACCAAATTCAGAAACTCGAATCGCTCTCATCAACCTCTGTCCAGTTGCCATAGTGATCTAGATACTAAGAAAAAAAAGTTAATGTATTGTCATATTGTATCTAGGCTATCAGGATGTTTTTTACCCTGGAGGGGAAGATCAAACAATTTCTCAAACAACAATTTAAATCATGAGCTTACCACTGATCTCATTTCATGTTTAAGGACCTTTCATCTTACAAATCCTTCAGCTACAAAGCAAAATACTTCATTTTACTTCCTGCAGAGATTCAGTGCCTTCAACAAGGCAATCAAATATACAAACAAAACCATCTGGATAGACATAGCATGATACAATATCTTACATTTCCTTTTGTATAAGCTTGGGCTGCAACATCTTGGCAATTTTAGGAGCTACATGTTATCTAATGTTAAGAAATGTAAGTTTTCTTAGATAAATAGATCTTCTTTTGTTAGATTATGTAATATTTCAAACAGAGAAAGAGAATAAAGAATATAATAAACATTTACCTGCCACTCAGCTTTAACAAATCTTCAAACACTGTAAAAACCTAAAACACAAATGTAACTGAAGCCTCCTGCGCCCGTCCCCAAACCCAGTTCTGTCCCCAAACCCACTTCTGTCCCACGCTTTTAAGAGCTGACTGTTCTATACACTCAGTGCTCATCCCTCTCAGGCACGATGTAATGCCACTGCCCACATGCGTCTGCATTAGCAAACAATGTGTGCTATTGTTCTGCAGGTTTTCAGGCTTTATCTAGATCAGGTCACATTGTGCTGAATCCTGCAACTTCCTTTTTCCTCTCCGCATTAGGTTTTAGAGATTTATCATTGTTGAAACACTTGGCTTTATGAAGCTCATGCATTTTAACAAAGGAAGAAAAGCATTAGAGACTAAAAACACTGCTTTGAATAATCTGTAAATCACAAGGGGAATTTACAGTTCAGCTTTCTCTCCTACCATGGCTAACAGTACAATGAAAAGAAAACTTTGAGTTAAAATAAACTCTAAGAAAAGGTAAAGAACATTTAAATATAGAATCAGATAACTTTAGAAATCTTCTGTAATGTAACGAAAGGGTTCCGAGTGATATCCATAACTTTATTTGGGCACTATCCCAATTTCTTGAAATTAAGCAAAGCAAACATTGCTGGACTTTGCCACCACCAAGAACAACTTTGCTAACTTCTGGAATAATCATATTCACCAGCCACGAGCAGCTGAAATATCAAAAAGAATTGCAGAAACTAGGACTTGAGATGAAAGAATTCAGACTTTTATTGTATTGAAGCTCAACACTGGACTGCTCAGAACGGAGCCCAGGCTAACTATAAAATGGCCTTCCATGTGTGTGGGGGGATCAAAGCACTTTGATGGTGTCATTAATGGGAAGTTCATGATAGAGTTCATCAAAAATTGTGTCATTAAAAAATCTTTATTTAAAATATTTAATACAGTACCTAGCACAGAGAAGAAAGTAAACTCTCCACTGCTAAAAGGTTGTTTAGCAATGATATAACCTGAAGGGCAGCTCTCTTATTAGGAAAGTGGGCAGAAGCAGGCAGAAAGCACACTGCACAGCAGAGCAGCTGAGCAGTCCCCGGGGTGAGAAGCCCCAGGACCAGGAAAAGAGCAGCTCCCATCACGCCTACCTGCCCAGCGGTCTCACTACTGCGTTTCTATTTGGGTCTCGGCTCAAGCTGAGTATTGCTTAGACAAGAAAGTGAAAATACAAAGAAAATAAAACAGAAATAGAAAAGGTTGCCTAGGTCAGACTTTTCCATACTGAAAATAAGAACACCAGTTTTTCTTTCTTTTTTTGTCTTTAGCATGGTGTTGTGGAAAGAGTGTGGGTTTTGGAATCTGACAGCTCTCAGCATGAATCCCAGATCTATCACTTACTAGCCGCCTTGGGCAAGGCAGTCAACTTTTTTGAGCCTCTTCATCTGAAAACTGAGTTCCCACTCGGGGTTACTGTGCCAGAGACAGGGCAAGTATCAGACACGGCACCTGGCAAATATCTACTCCTATATATAGTGATCTCACAGCTCCTCTCCCATCTCCTTTCTCCTTTCCAATTTCTTACTCATTAAAATATTCTTGGTTCTGTAATTCTACAATCATCTTTGATTTAATTTAACACATTTGCAGGACACTGATTATGAAACCAAGTCCTTAGCCTCAAAGAGTTCACAGTCCAGAGAATCATTTAAACAAAACACTAATACCAAACACTAGTTTGTTATTCATTCAACATGTATTTTTGGAACATTAACTCTGAGGTCACTGTGCAGAACTAGAGGGCACAGAGGGCCAGGGGAACCAGCCCAGCCCCTCCCCAGCTCCTGCTCACTCTGTGCGCCCACCTCCCCCACAGGCACCAGATAAGAGGAGGAGGTCTTTGCCCATTTTCAATATCTAACTACTTCCTACCTATTTATTTCTTTCAAGCTCTTGCATCTATCTTTTCACCACAAGACATCACTATTATCCTCAAAAAACTGTAGCAATAATAAAGGCAAAATTACCTTGAAATAGGATCTGTCAAAAATATCTAGCACATACATTTTTTCCGTCGCATTTTGACATTTGCTAAATTGGGAGAAAAGAACAAAGGAAGGAGGAGACTCATCCTTAATCCTGGCTTTAGGAGAACCCGCTGCCCTGCCCAGTACCACACCTCGTCCTACTAAGACTCTAAGGAAATGGAGCGTGCCCTTCACAGCTCTCTTCTATTTTGCTTCTAGGGCTCTTATTTCCAACCAAGCCTTTGCCACTATGACTGATCAGGCTCCAATCTGCACTCATTGCCTTGAACCCCAGCTACCCACAGGACCATCATCTGCTTCATATTACAGGTGCAATATTTAAAAAAATAATAAAAAGAATAAATTAACACAACACACAAAAAATTAATTATGATCATTCCTGAACCCCTGAACTACCCGATTTCCTCTAAAAAGTGTTATCTTTCACATCCACTGTCATAATTTTCACAATAGGTAAAGAAGCAACAGTTATTAAAACCACTGTTTAATTGTATGCAGAAGTGGAAGTAAAATCACCATCCATTTTATGGATGAGGAAACATTCAAGGGATTAAGACACTCACCAGGGTCACACTGAAGCAGAGTTGGAACCCAAGTCTGACACCTTAAACGTCGTTAGGTATTTTTTTCCTTTACTATACAATCCCTTTCATCTCATCCTTTGAAATGTTGGCATAAAGGACCTCTAATTTCTTAGAGATAGAATTTATAATGATGATAGTGAGACAGACTAAGCTAGAAATATGAAATTCAACACATCTGCAGGTAGCATTACATATTTTATGATTTAGGTAATTGCTTTGAGTTTGAAATGTTTCAAATGTCCGTAAGTTAAGGGATCTACCATAGAAACACAGGATGCAAATTCTGTTAGGAAAACTAATAATCTCCTTATCTGTAAAATGGGGCCACTACTCCCCAGCACAGGATCCTTGTGAAGATGAGTTGCAGCAGCACATGGCGAGGGCTTCAGAGCATGCCGGCACTGGCAGGCTGTAAGCTCTGTTATTCAGAGTACAGCATTTGCAGTCAGCAGCAGGCTTGGCACACTGTTTGTGTTTTTTAATTAAGCTGTACTTCAAATAGGTTTTTCTATTTATCAAATATAACCTTTAAAGAATTGTTTGGAGGACCTAGCTTTAATGTTTGGTTTTACTTTTTACCTATGAAAGGTTGCCAACCATCTTTTGCAAATGAAGGAAATACGGAATTTAAAATTCTTCTTCAAACAGTCATCTTTTCCAAGATACACCTGAAATCACTTGGTTTAAATGAAAATCAAAAGGGATAGGGGAAATGTTGGAAATATATTTTAACATAGAATGAACAGATCAATTCACATGCAAAGGCACATTATGAGAGAAAAGAAGACATTCTTTAGTAGGAAATTCTTAAACAATTCTTAAATAAGAATTTCTGGCAAGAAAAAAAACTTGGAAAGAGAATCAATCATTACAAAATGTGTTGCTGTTGATCAAGAATGGCTCATGTAAGTATATTATTTATTACTTTAACCCAGAAAAAAAAATTTTAAATTTAAAGTGGCCAAAGAAAAGTCTCTTCCTGGTTGTGTTACCTTGTCAGGTTCCTTCAATGGCCTGGATCTTAGTACTCACTCTAAACAAAACAATTATTTATTTTATTTTTATTTTATTTATTTTTGAAGGGGGTAGGTACTTAGGTTTATTTATTTACCTGTTTTTTAAATGGAGGTACTGGGTTTTGAACCCAGGACCTCGTGCATGCTAAGCATGTACTCTATCACTGAGCTATACCCTCCCCCCTTAGCACCCACTTCTGATAAGAAGGGGCGGAGGAAGAGTTGAATAGTTATTCTAAAGCCCTCCAGGTTCCCTGATAAAAAGGTTGGATGGAACTGGTCACGCGGCTCTCCAGTGTCGGGTGACCAGGGCTCGGTGGGATTTACTCCTGCTGACCAGACACTCACGCAGCGATCCAGTGGCTTCGGTGGGGATCACATAGCCACTTCCACTAGCTGCGGACAACAGTCCGAACTTAAGCCTTTAAATGGTTCAATCATTAACACACCTTCCTTGGTCACGGAGATTAAGTCTCCTTTAGGATCTGTGTAAATATCCAACGATGTGTCAACAGGGTGTTTTGTCATTTTTTTCTTTTGAAGATTCTTCTAGGTGGGGACCATGGAGGTGGGGCGGGGAGGTGAAACAAAAATCTACATTTCCCTCCCAAAGTAAGACGGTAACTCTGATAGCAAAGCCAGACAGAAAGAGCCCTGGGAACCCTGCAGCTGCAAGAACCTGAAAGGAGAAATGGGCTCTTCCAGATGGCTGTGGGCGGGGGTCCGGGGCCCAGGCCCCGCCGCAGGGAAATCCAGTCGGGGGCAGGCAGCGGGGCGGGGGAGCGGGTGGGAGGGGAGGCACCCACCGGAGCCCCGGTGGCACCCGGAACGCTGACCCCGCTAGACAGCAAAGCGAGCTCTTAGGACTAGCAGGTAAAACTGCCCTGGGGATTTACGGACCATCAACTTGCATTCCCTGGAGGGGAAGGACTTCGGCCACGAACTCCTTATTCACTAGTTCTTGTTGAGGACGGGAACGCAGAACAGGAGCGCAGCCAAAATCCAGCTCGGTTCCTTTTGGACGAGCGGTGGGGAGGCCCCTGCCTGAACTCTGGGGGCTTTTCGAAACCACTTACCCGGTTCTAGACTGGAAAATCAAAATCTACGAGGGCTCGCCCAGATTCCAGGGGAAAAGGGACGCGCCAGACCGACCTCAGCGATTTCTAGGCTCCGCCCCGCCCCGCCTTCGGGGGCGGGCACGAGGAAGTTTGGACTTTCGCGGCCACCACCGGCTTCAACATGGCTGCGCCCAGGGAAAGGCGAGGCTAACGGGGAAGTGCAGACCCTGGCCCCCTCGCCGCATGGATCGTAGCGCAGAATTCAGGAGATGGAAGGCGCAGTGTCTGAGCAAAGCGGATCTCAGCCGGAAGGGCAGTGTGGACGAGGATGTGGTAGGGCTTGTGCAGCTTCTGAATGGTCGAGAACAGTTTTTCACCACCAGTTCCTGCGCTGGCCGCATCATCCTCCTAGACGGGGTGAGGATCCTTGGTGCCCTTCCAGCGCCTGCCCGGTAGTTTGCAACATCAGGAGCCCTATGCCCACCCTATACAATCCCAACCCAGCCTGTGTTTCCCCTTGTGATGGGTGATCTCGGTTTCTTTATCTGCGAAACTGATAGGGTAACTTAGACTAATGCTTCTAAAATTTCAATGTGTCTGTTAATCACTTGGAGATATTTTAAAGTACAGATTCTCATTCTTTAGGTCTAGCGTGGGGCCTAGTCTGCATTTCTGACAAGCCCTGAGTGACGCTGAAACTACTAGCCTGAGAATGATGTTGAGTTGCAAGGGTTAGAGTATTTCACCTTAATACTAAGGGAATTTAAAGACTTTCCAGCCTGGCGAGGTGGGTATCTTCTCTTCTACCGCTCTACCAAATCATTGTTAACTACTTTATGGAAGATCGCCATGGTTATAGGGCGTTTACTGCCTCCTAGTGGCCCAGTCCGTTATTACAGCTCTGGTAATTTTTACATTACCTGAGAAAGAGTATGGTAGTATACAGTCAGAGTGATCAACCCTTAGGCTTTGGAGTGATACTGCCAGATTCTAAACTAGATACGGGAATTGGCTTTGTGACTTTAGGGAAAGCTAATGAAACAGCCCCTCCCTGTTCCATGTACTAAGGATAATAAAGAGTGTCCATTTCATAGGAGTTTTATGTGGAGGAAATAAGATAATTTTGAAACCTTTAGCATCGTGTCTGACCCATATTAATTATGCTATAAAAGCTAGCTTTGTGTTAACTTTAACATTAGGACTGAATTCAGAACATGAAAGACAGCGCACTCATAAACTCATTCTTCAGATCCCCCACTGATCATCGCTGGTCTCCCAGGTTGCATTCTTACATTGCTTCCAGTGACTCCTAAGCACTGGCACTCTTGCTTGGCTTGTTCCCTCTCTCTTCCCCCATTTCCATTGCCCTATCTTCCCTGGATTTCTGCAGTGGTTTCCTAGCAGGGCACTGGACTACCAGTCTCTCTACCCCAAACCATGTTACACATTTAACAGAGTCACCTTTCTAAAGCACAGTTCTGTGCATGTCACTCATCTGTGCTGAAATACACCAGTATACCTTTCAGCTCTGTTTTCCACTACGGGTCTTCATCTTAATCTATTTACTGAAACTGAACTATTCTCTTTTTCCTCTTGTATCTACCTGCCTTTGCCTTTGCTCATGTTTGTTTTTCCAGAAATGTTTTCTCCCATCCTTGCATGTCTGAGGCATACCTCCCCACCCTCCCCTCCTCCACCTGAACGCAAACACACACATCCACTGGGAGACAATGACTACTTCTCCTGAACTGACTTGGGACTTTTTCTGAACCTCTTTTCATGTCATGTATTATATTTTGTCTTGTCTTGTATTTATTTCCACTTTGCCTTATTTCAAAAAGGATTTAGATCAACTTACAAAGAGGCAAAACAAGAGGAAAATTAAAAGTGGGAAAATCTGGATAAAGGGAATATAAATAAGATGAAGCAGAGATGGCATTAGTTCTCAAAACATACCACTAGACTGTACATTTGCTAGAGGTGGGCCACACATTTGGCTGTAAGATTTAGAGCAGCCAGCATAAAATCAGATACATAAGTCATTGAGGTCATTCAGTGAAAACAAATCAGTTATTTAAGACAAGCACAGCTCTTCTTTCCGAAGCCGGACAGCAAAGCCTTGTGTACCCATTGTATAAACAGTTACCACGTAGAAGTCCAGTGACTTAAAAGTGCATGTGGTTTCCTGCATCCTCTTTCCAGTGTCCTTGAGGGTAGGATCTGTTTATATCCAGAGTACCTAATAGAACTTTGCAAATAAACATTTTTCCAGTTAATAGGCAAAAAATGCATTTAATATATTTGCCTTCTTGAAATTTTGACCTTTTAATCCTAGCTCTGCCTTTTGGGACTACATATAAAGTCTAAGCCAGAGGTCACAAACTTATGCCTGTAATGTCTAGGGACATATTATAACAGGTATGAACAGATCAAGCGTCAGTAAAAAGTGGTAGGCCCTTTGTGTAATTGGGAGAGTGCTTTCAAATTTTTTTAAAAATATCATGCTAATCATAGAAAACAGCTGGAATACAACTTAGGGGCTACTAGTGTACAACCCCTTGTAATAATGCCTTTTCTCCCGACAAAATCATGACTGTATTTCAGAAAATATTTATTACATTCTTTTACCTTAATACACAAGTTATTGTCTTTCTCTCTCAGATAATTTGGTTTCATCTTGTTTTACATTAACTTTACCCAGAAGAGTACTGAATTATTCTCCATAATACTTAAAATCACCACCTGGGATTATTAATTTAAGAAAGCCTAAAAAGTGCTATACATTTACTTATTATTTTGTATTTTATGATTAAATTATGTTATTTTTAAATTTTAGGGTATAAATGGTTTTGAGGTTCAGAAACAAAACTGTTGCTGGCTACTGGTTACACACAAACCTTGTGTGAAAGACGATGTGGTAAGTTTTTATATATAAATTTAGAAATAAACTTTAATTCCCAGTCACTTTAAATACATCTGAAAAGAATAGAAAATTCAAGATGATTTGTGTAATAATTATAATAACATAAATAACATAATTACAATGACTGAAGATTTTAATGCCTAAAGAGAGTTCATAACAATGGCTTTTTTTAGTTGCGGGAGATAAAATTTTGTGTGCAGGCATTACTTACGGCTGCTCAACAGAACACATCCTCTTGGACACAGCAGAGAGTTCATGGACATTGGACACATATTGGATCCAAATTCTGAATTTCAATCCTGTCATTTGGTAGCTTTGTAACCTGGGACAAATTATAGGAGAAGGCAGCTAGGAGAAAGGAATTGGCACTACCTGCGTGTAACCAGCACATTGATAGAAACAGATTACACATTACTTACCTGGATTGCTTCTTTAAAAATCTTCCTGTCTGTGCTGGATTATTTAGTTTCCTAAATTAAAGTGTTTAAATGAGTTCATATAAGTTTGTATTAGTCGGGCATCTGACATTACTGGCTCAGGTGCTTTAAGCTGTCTTCAAAGTACTCACTCCGTCGCTGTCTCCTTCCTTGGGTACTGGTTCTCTTTGTATGTTTGCCCTACTTCTCTTCTGCTGCAGATAATCTTCGTGGCAGGAAAGATAGTTGCCAGCAACACCAGCAGAATAAACTTCTTTTTAAGATCCATGTATCATTTTCAAAGAAGGAACCTCAGTCCCCCTGCATGGTTAGGTGTTCTCCCCCTGAGATCAGTTCTTTTTTGCCAGTAGAATGAAGTGCTGTCCTTGATCAGACCTCGGCACTTGGCATCTCTGATATTATGATGACGGGAGTTATGAGTGACAGGGTCACAATTGACAGTCCCACCAGAATCAAAGGATGTAAAGGAGGGAGGTTGGTGCAGGGACCCTAGGCAGACAGAAGTAGCAATAGATTCTAGCTCAGACATGATAGTACATGTGTCTCAAACGTCAGTCTAACAACAAAGCGTTTAAACAGACCTAGTGCAGTCTTTATATACCGTATTCCTTAATGAAACATCTGTTATCAAATTAGATAGAGTAGTAATTTACTTTGTTAAGGTATGGTTGGAAAGAATGACACAGAGGGCTTATGGGAAAATTAGAAATCAGGTCTCTGAAAAGAATAAGCAGATTAGTAAGTTTTTGGAGAAAGAGGGCCAAGAGAGCAGAGTGAAAAGTTACTGTGGAAGGAGGATGCAGAGTGAGTCTGAAAGTTCCTCTGAAAAACTGAAGTTACATAGGATAAAGGGTCAGCAGAGAACAGGATCATATATTGGTATCTGATCCTAACTTTTTTCATTCATTTAGATGGTAGCGCTGAAGAAAGCAGACGGTGATGCCATTTTGAAATTTGAACCACTTGTTCTCCATGTGCAGTGTCGACAGTTGCAGGACGCACAGCTGCTGGTAAAATTTTGTGATTATACTTGAATGTATAGGTATGTGAATAGGTTTAACTTTAAACTTTACATCTTCTATCAAAATTACAGCAATGTTAGTTTAGTCAACTGGCTTTTTATTTAATTGTAAGTTTAGAGTTATATATGTTTCTGCAGTTTGTAGAGCTAAAGTGTTTATCTGATGAGCCAGATTCTCAGAATTTAACAGATTTATTTTCTTACAGCATTCGGTGGCAATGGATTCTGGTTTCAGGAACTCTGGCATAACAGTGGGAAAGAGAGGAAAGACTATGTTGGTAAGATACTTTGGGGCAAAAAGCAGTGCTTTGAGCATGCAGTTATCCACATGATTAAATAACCTTCTTCTCAAATCTTCTCACCATTCCCTGCTCAGAAACTTGCAATGGTTACTTTTTCCTACAGGGCAAGGTCCAGACTGGTTAGATTTATATTTGTGATCTTATTTTATAGCATTCCCCTCCACTTATTTTTAACCTGATTCTCTCTATCCTCATCCTCAATAGTCGAGGCCCAGTTTAATCAGTTCCATGATGTCGTGGAGAGATGCACAGACAGAGGGTCTGAAGTCCTCTATGCGGAGCCAGCAGGGTCTGAATTTTCTCGGCCACATCAGGGCTCTAGTGAACTTCTGCCGTAGCACCAAATTCAGCCCACAGCGGGGCCGGTTCCAGTAAATCCATTTGATGAATTACTGTCTACGGTTGCGTATGTGCTGCAGCGGCAAAACTGAGTAGTTGTGACAGGTATTAGATGGCCCACAAAGGTGAAAATACT